GGGGGGGGGGGGGGGGGGGGGTGGCAGCATGAACATTGGTATAAGGTACCATAAAAAGAATAAAAAAAGAATAAATAAATACAAATAAACATGAAATAAAAAAAGTATTGAGAGGGTACCAGATGTTTCAAGAGGAACTTGCGCTGATGTCTTTTGCCGTCTTGAGCCAATGAGTCCGACACCTCTGAAGGCTTTCAACCGATTCTCGTATTTGTCCAGTAATCTACCTCTAGCACGTACCATAGAACCATTGACTGTTCGATTGGGAATGAAGTAGCTCTCAGCTTTTTCATTGGGGAAGAGTTCGGTGATACTTTTAGTTAAGGAGGCAAATTGTTTAGTGGATAAGTATGTATTAGGATTGCCATCAAATTCATGGAGGAGAATTATGTCGCACAACATCAAGGAGAATTTTTTTTCCAAGCATTGGCTTTTTTCGTAGGCTTTTAGGACCAGTTTTCCCTTATCATACTTTTTCAGTGCATCATTTAATGAAGCACTACTTGTGATTGAAAGAATTTTTTCCTGACGGGCGGGAGGATCTTGTTGAATATTCTGTGAGAGAGTGGGAGGATCAGGGGTAGAAGCAGGAAGAGGTGTAAGGGTAGGAGTAGGCGTAGGAGAATTTGCGAAGGCTTCAGTCTCTACAATGTTTTCAATAACAACTGGAGTTAACTCAGAGATGGGCACATGGAAATCTGGGGAAATTAGGTTATCAGCGGAAGTGGAGTTGAAAAGAGTAACAGGAGAAGAGGAAGAAGATGGAGAGGGAGTGGTAACAGCTTCAGATGAGCTAGAGTTGAGAGAATCGAGGGTTGATCTCGATCCCTGAGGGTCATCTCTGTCCTGAAAAGAGTAAGACTATCAATTAGAACCTGCTTGCCACTTGATATTGTTTTCCTCTTGCTGTAACAGCAACTAAAAACTGTAAATGGGTTCCTCGAGGTCCGGTCAGGACTATTTCCCAGCTCAAAAGCGACGCAAGGTTGAAAAAAACAGGAAAGAGATCTAAAAATGTGAGTTTTCTGTTGAGCGTAAACCTTTCTTTCGGCCTAACATAACTTTCAAACTTTCAATTATATCTTTGGCATCAAGATAAAGTCATGCCATTTTCATGCCTAGATTCTTCGTCTAAGTGACACATTAGTTCAGAAGAGAAAGCTTAAAGAACTTACTGCTTGCACAAGATAGGAAAAAAAAAGAAAGGAAAAAAAAAAAAGAAACTTAAGTCTAGGAAGGTAAAAAGCAAATCATCCATAAAACCTCTTGGCTTACGCACTTAGGATAGAAGAAAGCCTAGTGTTGACTAAGAAAATCAAATAATACTCACTTTTTTCAAAGCGTCAAAGAATCGGAGAGCCAGTCCCATGGGTACAATGCCTGATAAATCCTCCTTACATGTTACGCATGGAAGAGCTTCATCATCAAAGAATGATTCTGCGAAAACCAGGAAACGAGAGCAATCAATAACTGCCTAGATAACCCAATTATAATTTTCCTTATTTTTTGGATGAATCGAGCAAATATGACAAAATAAAAACTAAAAATTGGCTCCAAATATAAAATTGCGGTGAATCTATTTTGTACATTCTTCAAAATTAATTTCCAAATTGTTAGTTCAATCATGAGAAAAATACTAGGTGAATTTACCAAAAATGCATTGATTTCTGTAATCTTATTACAGAGTTGTGACACCATGGCCCAACACGTCTTCACTCTGTGGAGCTGCAGGGACTCTAGATGATAGCAATGTTTACTAACTGTTCATGACGGTTTCTAAGGCCATTTATGTTATTGTAATGTATGAAAATTCTCAATATAGAAAAAGAATTGACTGAATTTTGAAAATACATTTACAGATTTTCTAATTCCATTTTCAACTTTCTTTCCACCTGAGGACTTCAAATGTGATACGATCAGGGAAAAGGGACCGTAGGGCTTTTTTGAAAATTATGCAGGAAGGCTCAAAATATGATTCAAGATCAGAATTTTTGAAACATTTCTTGTCCCAAAAATCCCATCAACATAACCTAAAGAACAATTGCTGCAGGTCAGACATCACAATTCCCTTGAGAACTATTCCAAATCCCTGTAGGAGGGACCCTAAACAATGGATAAATACACAGTGGTTGAGATTTTTAAACGTGATTTTTTCGACATTTTTCTTATTTGTAACTCATCGAAAAGCCATTTTCAAAATGATATAACTAGACCAATTCTGAGTATTTTTCGAAAAACTGGAGCTCATTCGATTTATCAGAGCCACCTCGAAAAGAATATGCCAAAAGTCGATTTGGAAAATTTGACCTGAAGGTCCCTTTTCCCACATCGCATCACAAATAAGTATTTTTGGAACTTACAACTTGTTCATCTCGAGCACTCGGATGACATAACCTTCCTAGAGAAATAAGAAAATAATAGAAGGATCCAGGATCAAAAAGAAACACTGGAGCAAGTCAACCGCCAGCGGGTCGATTGTTAAATCGCTATCGAATGGCCTTGATCGATATACAGCATTGTTAAGATAGGGAGTTATCGATCGATTTCATTCGATAACGATTCAACAATCGACCCGCAGGAGACACAAAAAATCCTCCTGGGTTATTATCTAAAATGAAAATAAGATAGATAATTTATGGCAAACCCATTTTAAAATTGCACCCATTTTCTGGTCCATTCCATTTCTTCACTAATAAACAGACGCGTCCTCTTTACAGAACCTGATAAATTAAGTTCTTGATTTTTCAAGAAGTAACTTTACAAGGGATATCATCAGAACCGAAGGAGGACTCGCTTCTCAAAAATTAGAAAATACTTAAAGGAATTGAATGTCACGACTACTTGGAAAGTGCAAAATTTGAAATTGAAATATGGTATCTTAGACGTGTATAGCAAACCGGAAAGTAAAATTTCTAAGTAAAGGAGATTGTGCAATAATTTAGAATTTAGGTATTACGACTTGAAAGAATTTGCTAGAGTGAAAGTGCCAAACTGCATATCAAGTTGAGGGAACACGTTAACCTCAAAATTAAAACATGAGGAATTGAAGACCAGAATGACTTCAATGAAACAATGCAATTGTCAAAATGAAAAATAAGGTGGGAAATTGACAAATAAATAAATAATTAACTGGTATTGCATTCCCAGACTTATTTCCTATTTTAAATTCAAGAGAAGCCATGTGAGCCCTCAAGGACGTAAGATGGAGAGTACCTACTTGGGTTATAAATTGGCTAAGAACGGCGCCGTGTATAGTAGGACAGGAAATGAAAAGAAATCTATTTACAATGAACATTTATATGTGAAGCAATGCGACCAATTTAAAACGCATGAGCACATGTAAATGAAAGGAAACAGAAAACTAGAAAGCAAGATGACTTTGAAAAACGTACCTTTAAATTTATCCAAAAGCCCTGGTAATCCGACTTGCTGCAGTAGCCTTTCCACCCGCGTGTACATTATACTACACCACACTATTATAGTTCACTTCACTAGTAAAGCACTTCACGGCACAAACTTGATAATAATTAATAAATTTCGGTTAGGATCACAGGACACAGGGACGGAATGAAATACGTGTAAAACGAATTGGCCAAAATGGCGGAGGGCTGCCAACTCAATCACGCTTGACGATTTGACTGGCGAGGCATCAGAAACTACCCTCTTGGTTCACCGGTCAGAGGGCGGTG